CGAAAAATGTCTTTTTTTAAATAATATTCCATTCTTTTTAAGTTTCTGAAGAGGATGGCTGTGCCATTGAAACGTAAAGAATAGTGTTTTATTTAATCCTTGACTCGGAATGATCGATATCATCTTCTTATATTATTAAATACTACCGAGTGATAGAATCAAAATTTTATTAATATTGTGTTTAGTTTAAACAAACGATCAATTCGGTTGATTTAACATGTCCAGGGCATTTTTTTGTTTTTGAAAAACTCATAATTCTGAGTAAAAAATCAAAAACCTTTTTTTATACGTCTAAGTTTACATTTAAAAAAAATTGTGCTTTTTAGTGCAATAATTCGTTTTTTGAAAAACTCAAAATTTGTGGACACAAGAATCAAAAAACTTGTTTTATGTGTTTAAATTTATATTATTCAAGAAAAAATTTTGCCAGGAATGTTGAGTTTTTCAAAAAATGAATTATTGTACTCCAGATCACAAGTTGAGCACAATTCAGAAAATTTTTTGTTTTTTTTTTAATTCAAATTTTTGTCGTCTAAACACAGTGGGCCTGAATCAACTTTAGGTTGCATGAAAATGACGAAAAAAGTGGAAACGCCACTGTTTTCAGAGTTGATCTTACATCAAGAAAATGCTTCTACCGAAATCCCAGCTGATCCTTTTTGGAAAATATCAACATTTTTCAGTTTCAAATCGCGTAATAAGCATTTCTTCAGTATTAGCAAAGTGCATTTGTTTATATATGGAAGTTCCACGTTAACAAGGACAGGCTTCTGCCCAAAACTGGTTTTGACGGCTTTCAATGTTCCAGGGCTTAAAAAATTCGTAAATTCCTATACTTTTGAATGCCGAGTGGCGTTTTTCAAAATTTTAAATGGCGACTTCAATATGGCGCATAAATAACAGTAAGTTCGAAAATTTAAAAATAAATTCGTGAATTAAACGTCCAAAAGAATTCCATATAATCTAAAACACCTTATACAACAGTTTTTAGGATCGCTGAATGCAAAAATAATGTTAGTTTTCCAAAATTCAAAATGGCGGTCAAAATTATAAAAATCAATCGAAATGGCTTAAAACTTATTTCTCGGGGGTTTTTAAGTCGTTAATTTTAAATTTGACGTTATTTTTAAAAAATAAGCAAAAATAAAATAACTCCTGGTATCGAAAAAATTAAACTTGAATTCCTTTCTACGATTCTAGAAACGGGAACATAACCTCAGTTAATATTTAAGGAAAACTTTTGTTATGACTGTTGTAGATTACTAAAAAAAAGTATATATATAAATGAAAAATCCATCTTTCATAACACAGGCACACAAAAAAAAAGTTGTCTGTTTCTTGAACTAGACATATATTTCCTATAGTATTTTGGACCGCTGAAACCGAATCTGAGCTCAGAATTGCTCCATCACCCTCAGTTTTTTTTTAAATCGACCAAAACCACCCTTAAACGGATAAATTCACACTTCGGAGATAAAAAATAAATCAACTTATTTTTTAAAAAAACCGAATTTTACATCTACGAAACTTTGCTCCACTAATTCAAAAACAAAGCCAGCATTGATCCAGCACCCCCTGATTTTTTTTAATTGAAAAAACTACCCCTAATCTGAAGAATCAAATTCAGGAGATAAAACAATAAAATAACTGATTAAAAAATTTTATAACCAGGTATTTTTACTCCAGCAAGGCAGAAACAAAGCCAGAAATATTCAAAAAAAAGCCAGCATTGATCCATCACACTCTGAATTTTTTTAATAAAAAAAACTACCCTTAATCTGAATAATCAAACTTAGGAGGTAAAACAATAAAATAACTGATTAAAAAAGTTTATATCCAGGTATTTTTACTCCAGCAATGAGCATTTCTGGCTTTGTTTCCGCATTGCTGGAGTAAAAATACCTGGTTATAAACTTTTTTAATCAGTTACTTTATTGTTTTACCTCCGGAATTTGATTCTTCAGATTAGGGGTAGTTTTTCCATTTAAAAAAATTCAGAGGGTGATGGATCAATGCTGGCTTTATTTTTTGAGTTAGTAGAGCAAAACTACATACATGTAAGGTTCTGTATTTAAAAAAAGCCGGTAATATAATATTTTTTTACTTCTTAAATTTGAATTTTACTATTTAAGGGTGGTTTTTCGATTTAAAAAAATTTAGAGGGTGAGGGAGTATTTCTGGCTTTGTTTCTGCCTTGCTGGAGTAAAAATACATGGTTATAAAATATTTTAATCAGTTATTTTATTGTTTTACCTCCTGAATTTGATTCTTCAGATTAGGGGTATTTTTTTCCATTTAAAAAAATTCACAGGGTGATGGATCAATGCTGGCTTTATTTTTTGAGTTAGTAGAGCAAAACTACATACATGTAAGGTTCTGTATTTAAAAAAAGCCGGTAATATAATATTTTTTTACTCCTTAAATTTGAATTTTACTATTTAAGGGTGGTTTTTCGATTTAAAAAAAATTTAGAGGGTGAGGGAGTATTTCTGGCTTTTTTTCTGCCTTGCTGGAGTAAAAATTTCTGGTTATAAAATTTGTCAATCAGTTATTTTATTGTTTTATCTCCTGAATTTTATTCTTTAGATTAGGGGTAGTTTTTTCAATTAAAAAAATTCAGGGGGTGCTGGATCAATGCTGGCTTTGTTTTTGAGTTAGTGGAGCAAAGTTTCGTAGATGTAAAATTCGGTTTTTTTAAAAAATAAGTTGATTTATTTTTTATCTCCGAAGTGTGAATTTGTCCGTTTAAGGGCGGTTTTGGTCGATTTAAAGAAACTGAGGGTGATGGAGCAATTTTGAGCTCAGATTCGGTTTCAGCGGCCCAAAATACTATAGGAAATGTATGTCTAGTTCAAGAAACAGACAACTTTTTTTTTGTGTGCCTGTGTAATGAATCTAGTAATTGCAAATAACTTGTTTTAGTTAAAGATTGTAAAGTTCAAAAATTAAAATATTAAGAAAAATCTGAAAAATTTTTGTAAAAGTAATTCAACAACAATTTTTTTAATAGAAAAACAATTTAGGCAATACAAAATTATCATTTTAATGTTTTCCAAAGTTCTAAAGTGTGAAATTATGCTTTAAATAATAAATAAAAAATAATAAAGTTTATTGCATTAAAAGGAATTAAAGGATTATTAATTTAATATTAGTTTTCGGTATTTAAAAGTTTTCACTAAACCTAGATAAAATTTTAGTCACTGATAGGAACAGAAAAGAATTCAATTTTATGAAAAATGTCTTTTATCTTGGGAATTCAAATGTGTGGACAAAAATGGAATTCCAAAGTATTTACTTTGTGGTAAATAACAATGGAGTGGTGAAATTTTTCAATATCTTTTAATGTTAGTCTTCTTGCCGGGATTCCATAATGGCGAATCCAAAATGGTGGACAAAGTCTTTTAAAAACGACCGAAATTTATTGAAACTCTATTCTAGGGGGTTTTTCTGTCCGAACGTAAAATTGAAATTGAAATTTTTAAAAATTAATATTTTTTGAATAATTATTATTAATAATAGAATATAATAAAATTAATTAATAATAAATTATGGAGGCAGTGTCTGATAGTAACGTATACGTAAAAGGACGAGTAAAAGGATCTTTGTGCTCGATATAATTCAAATACATAACCGGAAACATATTTGTATTTTTTGTAATTTCAATAATTTATTATTAATTAATACTATGTAAAAATTTCAATTTTAAGAGAAAGATATACGGCCCTCTTTGTTTTCATTTTTACGTTCGGCCAGAAAAACCCCCTAAAATAAAGTTTTAATCAATTTCGGTCGTTTTTAAAAGATTTTGTCCGACATTTATTTTTACTTTTTTTCTAAAAAAACAACTTTAAATTCGCAATCAGTGGCCAGAAAACCCCCTGGAAAACGTAAAATCCGGTATTATTTAGTTTTTCCAATATAGCTTTGAAAGAAATGATTTTTAGAAAAAATGACCCACATGAAAGTTAAAGCTGACAAAAATCTTGAAAATGAGATTCTATGTAAAACCTTAAACGGGTTAACTTTGAGAGACTGTATCTCGGAAACTATTAGAGCTATTACATTGTTCTTTTTTGCAAATTGTCAGGAATTTTGTCAGCTTTAACTTTCCTGTTGGTCATTTTCTCCAAAGCTATATTGAAAAAACTGAAAAATACCGGATTTTGGCAAGAATCTCGAAAAAATGGGTTTTTTGCGGAAGCTATATCTTTGTCAATTTTTGAGCTACAGTGTTTATTTTTATATTAAATTTCTCAGAATTGTATTCACTTTCTTTTTTATATCATCTATTTTTATGCTAAAATGTCATGGAAGGAGCCAATTTGCAGACAACTGATTTTTTGCACCTATTTCTTTAAAAAAAATTTGGTTCCGGTAGGTGTTCGAAGTACCAAATTTAGGTATTTTATTTTTATATCAAAATGAAGGGTTTAAGCAAAAAAATTGAGGTCCAGAGTTAAAACATGATATACCTTGTTTTTCGACTATTTTGACTGGACTAAAAATGATTTGGGCATGTGCATAATATTGATTTTTTACTTCAACCAAAAGAATTTTGTGAATGAGCACATCCACTAATTATGCATTTTAACCATTTATATTTACTTATTTCTGAAGTTAGCCGCTTCCACTTGACATATTAAGGACGCCATTTTGAATTTTCAATTCTGCCACTTTGCAATTGAAAAGGGATGAGTTTACGAGTATTTTCATGTATTACATGTTTATTTTTATTGCATAGAATTTTGGACATAGCTTTGGGCCGGTTGACGTGAAACGTCCCATATATATATGTAGCCGGGTATGAAATTAGATATTAGCAATTTAAAACATCTCAATTAAATCAACAATGATACCATAAAAACAATATTCGCTATAAATTTAAAAAAGGTAAAAAATCTAGTAGCACTATATTAATGACAGCCGAGTATTTTTTCTCTAGTTAAAATATGCTTTAAAATTGGACAATTATTAATTATTATTTTTGTTTCTGTTTACAGGTCATTCGAATGAATTATCTCAAATCTTGGTTCATTATTGATTTATTAAGTTGTCTTCCATACGACGTTTTTAATGCCTTCGATCATGATGAAGATGGAATAGGAAGCCTTTTCTCTGCCCTCAAAGTCGTGCGACTACTTCGACTCGGAAGAGTTGTTCGAAAATTGGATAGATATTTAGAATACGGGGCTGCGATGCTCATACTTCTGCTTTGTTTTTACATGCTGGTGGCGCACTGGCTAGCGTGTATTTGGTACGTCATTACTTTTAAGTACTTATTTATCTTTTCAATTATAGTACACGGTGGGCTTAGAATAACTTTAACCTAAAAGTACTGTCCCATCTCGGCTCTCTTCAGATATTAATTCAACATTATTTTTTGAGTAATTTGAACCTTAGATGAAAAGAAATCGGTGGAGGGATTTACGAATAAAGTCGATTTTTGTGTATTTTTAACTTTTTATAGTACTTTTTTACTTTGAAACAGTTGAATATTAATCAATTCGATTTCTAATCATGAATAAATTCTTTATAAAGTTGTCAAGTATTAAATTTAAAAGTGTCAGAGATAATACTCAATGTTTGTTAATATCATTGTTTAATTTTATTACTGCTCGCTCGAAAATGTTAAAAGCTAGAAGTCATGAAGAAAATCGTTACTGCGTGTTTGCCTTCTTTCTTACGAAAAATTTCTATTTATGATTTCAATTAAAGATGCAACAAATGATTTTTCATGACTAAATCATTTGTTGCACCTTTAACTGAAATCATTATAAACATTTTTCCGAAACAAAAAAGGCAAACACAGTAACGATTTTCTTCATAACTTCTAGCTTTTAATATTTTTGAGCGAGCAGTAATGAATTTATGGGTAATTCTCGACGTAACGTATAATTTAGTTATTGCTTTTATTTAAAATATATTTTTACAATTTAACAAAAATTCACATATAATGCATGTAAATCCCACTAAATAATACACACGTTTTAATGAATAGAGCTTCCGATGACTCACAATTAATACTGATTATTTAAATAATATATAAGCGATTTTCAGTCTGTTTCGTACTCACGGCATTTATACTGTCTAAATAATGAATACAACTACTTTTTATTTAACAGAAAATATTGATAATTAGTAAATTTATTACAAAATATGTGAAGGCTTTCCCATAAAGATTCTGTGATTCCCCATATAAAATTGGTGCTTTAAAGGTGTAAAAGGAAAAAATCAATTATGAAATTAGTTTCTACCATAATAAATCTACTTGGGGGAGTTAATTATTGCTTCTACAAAAGTATAACTAAGTTTTGTTTTAATTTTTATGAATTATAAAAATAATTCAGTTTTATTAAAAAGCTTCCTCATGACGCACAAAACTGGGACAAGAATTAACATCGAAAAAAAGATAAAAAAAATAATATTTTTTAACAATCAAGTTTTTCTGAAGTCTGCAAACTTGGGCAATTAAAATCTGATACCAATAATTATTTTTATTATTGTACATTGCGAAAAATATTGATTTTTGACTCGTAAATGACACTAGGTACAGGATTTCTTATTATAGGTTGGCTCTTTAATTTGCATTTTAAAAATAAGATTTAATTTATTATATTAAATTGGCTATAGTGAGAAAGTAAGTTTAGTGTTTACAAACTTTTGTTTGTAAATACTAAAGTTACTTTCTCAAGTTGGACTTATTACAATATGTACAAATTATTTCTTAAAAAACACAAGGGACATGAAATTGTTTGCTTCGTGGAGAATCACCCTTCATTGAAAATTCCTACAAAGTTTCCCACGTGTGATCCTTTAAAACGAATCTATTAGGAATCCTCATAAGATCCTTTGTAAGATCTTACGTGGGATGCGTTTAAAGAAGCTTCCAGACAACATACGACATTACTGTAGGAATTTAGTTCAGGCAATGTTACGGGAAACTATATAGTTTTCCATATAGTTTCCTGCGTAGGATCCTATAACAGATGTCACAAAAAATGAAAATTAAAAAAAATTGATTATTTTTTTTATGTATGCCATTGTTGCCTTGCTTGTTTTTCGACTTCTAGTATTCTGGAGAAATATTTAAAAATAAATTTGGAGGGACTGAGGATCTAACCCGGTTGAGGTTTTCCTCTGCAGTCGGTGGTTACCCAGTAAAAAATAAAAGATACAAGAACAGCGGATTCCGGTTACAAGCTCAATAGCTGTTAAACAAATCCGTGAGAATCTCGGATACAAGCACTTCGGTATCCGAAATGCTCATTAGCTTGTAAACGCACTGAAACGAACGACTTTTGTAGGGCTTTTCATCAAGAAAAAGCAATTAAATGGATGGAGAAACGATGGGAAATTAAATTAGAAGCAAAAATAAATAAATATTTATTAAAGAAACGTACATTTAAACAAAAAACAATTATTCTTACTAATTCTAACTCCTGCATTAAAAACATTGTAAAAGCATTGTTTTATTGGTAATTTTACCTTGTTATTCGGAAAATATGGTTTTCTACCTTACCGACATTGGATATTAATTTAACGCGATTTTTTCGATTTTCCAATTTCAAAAGCAATTACAAATAATAATTTCAAGTGTCTGTCTGTCCCGCTTGTTCTATATATATATTTTGTCTGTCCTGCATGTTCTATATATATTTTGTCTGTCCGCATGTATTACTATATAAAATTCTTTTTCACCACGTTTGAAGAGTGGGGTATTTAGCCCTCCTTTATGGTGTCAACAAAAGAGACAAAAGTAAGAGAGAGAGAGAGAGAGAAGTGTAAACCAATAAAATTTTTAAATTCTCCCTTCTCTCTACTTCAATATACAAACAAAAAGGAAAATGATTTTCTTATTGGTTTACATAGATAACGCATGTCGAATTCATTTTTAATATTTTTACTTGATAATTAGTTAGAAATAATTTTATTCAGTTTAATAATTATAATAATAAAAAAAAGTGTGCATTTATTAAATGTTCGGTAGTGTTCAACTGATTGTAAGAATAAAAAACTTATTTTCATCTGTAAAAGTAAGTAATCTTTTTTTTAATAAATTAATTAAGGAAAAAGAAGCAAAATAATACTAAAAACTTTGGAATAAAATAAATATATTGCTTAAGAAATTCTTTTCTTTAGAATCGAATGAATCCATCTATTTTTATAATTTAAATATTAAAAAAATGTCCTCCTCATGGTAATATTGACCACTGTCATAGCAACGGTTGCTTTAGCAACTACGAAACCCTAAAAATTATTAAAACTTGCGGTGTACTGTAAAATCCCAAAACTTTGACCTCCTCCCTATCGGAAAATACGGATCTATAATCTAAATGAAAAAATATTTTTACCAAAAATTAACATTTATGAGAACTACAACTGCATCGAGTGTCAGCATGTTTGAAGAAAAAGTTTTTTGAACCTTGATCACTTAACGTGTGATTCTTCATTACCATTTGGATATTCAAGAATCTTAGGAATGTCCTGGGGATGACCGGAAAGTTTAACATCCCTAGGATGTCTCAGGTACATCCGTAGATATCTTGAGGACATCCTAGAGATATACAAATTTCCGGATGCGGGTAGGACGTCCATAGGATATTATTAAAAGTCCGTTGCTGTTAGGGGATAATAAAAAATTCTTACATTAAATGTCTTTCAAACCACACAAGAATTATGTCAAGATAATGACAAATAAGAATCAGATTACATAACATAAGGCTATTTAAAATATTAATAAATTTAAGCACCATTAAATTAAAATATTTTAAAATTTGTAATACTATTTTAGGGTAAATTATACAGAAGAGGATTTTTGTGAGGTAAGTTGTCAAAGTTACATCTGTAAATTGCATTAAGAAAATCATGTTACAAAAAGAAAGGTATGTTAATTTAAGTGACGCAGATTTTAAAATTATTGATGAAGAAGGAGGAATGCTAAATGATAATCGTATTTGTGAATTTGAAAAATTGTTGAGAAGAGAATCTAATTCTTTTTTCAACATGCAAAGTACCTTGTATTTAAATATGCTTGATCAAATTTGTTCTATTAAAAAAAATCAAAAGCATATTCAAATACTTTTTAGTGGTTCTTGTGTTGCTGGTCATTGGATATGTACTTATTACAATGGAGCAAGACTTTGTATTTATGATAGTCTTAATTTAGGTTGTTTAAATGGGGATCAAGAGAAATATTTAAATAGATTATATCCTTATCAACCTTCAGTAGTTTCTGCAACAGTGTATCAACAACCGAATGGTATTGATTGTGGTTCATTTGCAATAGAAATTGCAACATGTATATTCTTTAATTTAGATCCAAATAATCTTGATTTCATTCACAGTCAAATCAGAAATCATTTAGTTTTTATGTTTAGAAGTAATCGTTTAAGTCCCTTTCCTTCTATAAAGACATTAGATTATATGTTGAATATGATTGGAATTGTCTTTATAAAAATCGAGTAAATGAACTCCGTTATGGAAAAACAAATTCTTCTAATTTTTCTAATATTACCAATGATGATATAGATGAGAGTAAAAAATAATAATTCAAACTCCCTAAAAATGCTTGTGCGTTCTTTAGGTGAAGATAATGAGAAAAAAATTAACCAGTGTATAAAAAGTACTGAAAGAAAGAGAAAACTGAGGCTTAAGAAAACGATAGAAAAAAAGAATGCAGACAAGAGATAGATAAACTTAGGAAACGGAGTTTTCGTAAAATAAAAATCGAAAATAAAGAAAGAATAGACCAAAATATTTTATGTAAAAAGGCGAAATTTTTATTAGACAGTCAGTTAAAAATGAAAGAACGCCAATTGAAAGATTCAACGAGTAAAACTAATAAAAAGAGTAATAAGAAGTTTAAAGCATTAGGATTAGCTATTATTGCTTTTAATGAATTTAATGAAAATGTAATTTTACAAAATTATTTAGGTTTGATGAATGTTAAATGTAAGCATCGTAATTCGTTAAACTTCTTGTGTGAACAGCCGCCAGATAAAGAAGTTAGTAGTTGTTGTCATAAGGGTAAAGTAATGTAGATGATTTAACTGCTTATTCTGATGAATTAATTAAATTGTTATCTGACTTCACTTGTGAAAGCAAAAACTTTAAAGAGAATATACGTTCGTATAATAAATAGACTAGCTTTTGCGAGTATGGGAGCTCAATTAGAAGTTCCAAAAGGGAAGGGGCCTTATGTTTTTCGTATACACGGTCAGATCTATCGTAATACATATTCTCTTCATCCAAATC